ATAATATATTAGATATACATTGGAAACACAATATCAGTCAATTACAGGTTCAGCAGGGTAATCAGAATTATGGCAGTCTTAACACACTTTTTCTAGCCTGTTGCTTGTTGTCTGGTCTTGACTAATAGTAATATGTAAGATTTTAAAACATATTTACTTAATTGCTTGTGTGTGTGTGTGAGAGAGAGAGAGAGAGAAAGAGAGAGAGAGAGACAGAGACAGAGACAGAGACAGAGAGACAGAGAGAGACAGAGAGAGATCAGAGGACATCTCTGGGAAGTCCTTTCCTACTACCATGTGGGATGCAGGGACTGAACTCACATTGTTAGGCCAGTAAGCACCTGTTGAGTTGTCCTGCTGGCTCAATAAGATGTTTAAGGGAACCCCAATTTACCAACTCTAGAGAAAAAAAAAGACAAAACAAAAACAAACAACCCCCCCACAAAACCAAAAACAACAACAACCAAAAATGATAGCCGTATTATCTGAAAACACGACATAAACCCATCTTCCTTTTATGACTGCAGACCTCAATATGGTTGAATTTTCTGCTTAGGCTTAAATGGAAACACCAGATAGTGAAGAGAAATCCAGCTACCTTCAACTAATGTTGGGATAAAGAGCTGAAAAATGACACATGACACTGCTCTCCTCATTCCTCAGCCTTTGCTTTGGAGACTGTGTCACATGCACAGCAGGTCTTATTTCCTGTTTTCATGTCTATTCTGGTGAAAACCACTAAATAGGTAGAACCCCCAAGCACATGTTGTTTGGGATCTCTGGTGATGAGCATGCAGAGGGTCCTGAGGCTAGAGCTGGTGTTCTGAATTACAGTGTGATAAAAAGGTTTTGAATAGATGTGTCAAACAATGACAATGGGCTGAACCTTCTTACTTAAATTATAAAACTCTCCATTTCAAACCTAAGTGACAATATTAGGGAACAACATTTTTCAGTCATCAGGGAATGGAGTTTGGGGTGAACATTCTAAGACAGAATCCATTCTGCCTCTGTAGCAAAATGAAAAAAAAAATATTTCAAAAGTGAAAAGAGTATGTGGATTTTTTTCATAACACATGTCTACACTGAAAAACTTCTATATTTCTTCCTTCAGTTTCTAGAATAGCTGGCCCTAGTTTTTATGAAAAGTTAAAAATAAATAAAGAGAACCATTTTTTTTCCATCTGAGCTGCACTGAAGCCGAGGGATGCTTAGTTTTAGACCAGGAGACGAGGTTCCGCTGAGATCAAGGGCGCAACTGCAAACACAGCTAATGGGACTATGAGCCTCTAGCAATGAGCAGAAATCCCCCTGAGAGACTGCTGGACTGATGGGAGCTGAGACTAACTGTAAATAGATCAAATAAAATGGGCGAACCAAGCGGCTATGAAGTTTCAGGCAGAACCTTGGGCAAGCTTCTTCTCAGTGTATACAATGGGGAGTAAGAGTTCTTTATGATTAACTAAATATTGCATGCCTTCCACCCTAATACCCATCCCATCTGTGATCTGCTGGAGCCTGGGGGAGGGGGAGTTGGGGAGAGGATGGAGCAGGGGAGCTACAGTATCTCCATGACACAGGGCAGCAATGGAATGTCCAGGAAGCATCCCAATGAGGGCCCATCGATGATGGTGCAACAGAGACCAGGGTCCGGGAACCAGACCAATGATTCTTTTTGAATCATTTGACATGAATGCCTGCATGTGAAAATGTGTGGATAAAGGAGTTTACTGCATGGCTACTGTGTCACACTGCAGCTTCAATGAAGAGATTTTTCCCCTTCTTTTTTCTTTTTCCTCCTCTTAAATTTTCTTTTGCTTTATTTTGGGGTGGGGAGGGAGATGAGTGGGATGGGTGGCATGATTTGAAAGACACAGAGAATAAGTGAAAGATAAGTAAATAAAAAATTACACACCTTAATGTGAATGAAGTGTCTGTTAACTATAGTGTCCTAGTCCAGTGATTATTATTCACACTGTTAACGTAACCAAAGGAGTTTTGGTTTGTAGGCAGAGAACACCATTGTGGGTCGGCCTCATCATCTGGCTCCTTGGTTTTCCCTTTTTAAACTCATCCAAGAGGCTGAATGGACATCCATGATGGCATGGGAGTTGTGAAGGGAAGTGCATGGGCTGAGGATCCATAGAGACTGCAGAAACCCATCACTGTGTGACATAACTATGTTTTACAAAAAGTTGATAATATTTCAAAACTGCACTAGGAGTCTCATGAAGAACGAGGGGTAGAAGTTCCCCTCTCCAAGTAACAAGCCCAGGAACATGAAAGATAGAGAGAGGGATGCAGGAGAGTCACCTGGGAAAGACACAGACATGGTAAGTGTCAAAATTAGTTCTTGACTGACAGGAACCATGCTCTTTCAAGTAAGGATGGGCAAGCCTTATTAATGATTTCTCTAGTGACTAAGAACTAGCTGCTTCCATAGGAGAGAGGTGTTTCCTTCTGGGTGTTGTACACAGTTCTTCATAGTCCTTTTGGATTTTAATAAGAGATAGGAGCTTGGTATCTCTTTATTTAGAGAGCTAGAAAAATTAAAACTACCATTTGACCAATAATCACGGTTATTATTGGGGACTAATAACAAAGTAATATGAAAAGCTTTCATAGGAAAATCATGTTTGTATGAATCATGAATCTTAAATATCATAAAATATTCTTTAGAAAACATTTGGTAGCTACTGGGTTCAGATGAGATTGCTTAATCAATACAACATAATGAGTAAGTGAAACACTCTCTAGGATTGCTTTGCACTGTCCCATATATTGTGTACCCATCCAACATGTGCAGAAAACATTTGAGTGACTAATGGTGATAAACTAAAGAACTATCACCGTCAGGAAAAAATTTAAATCAACAAGTGTAAGGAGCCTGGGATAAAAGGATCCCTGGCACCTTTTGGTTCCAACTTACTGAAATTAGAAGCCTTTATCAGCACTTGGAAGCACTCGGAAGCTGAAAGCTGAACTGAATTCTCCTAAAAGAAGAACTTTGCATACAAAGAGAAATCATCAGCTGGGGAGATGATGCTGTCAGGTGTAGAGACCTGAGTTTGGAGCTCCAGAATCCACGTAATATTGGATATGATAGCATCTGTGATCCCAGCATTCCTACCATGAAGTAGAAGGCTGAGACAGTAGACTTCCCTTAAGTATGGGCCAGCTAGCTTGGTATATTCAGTGGCAAAGAACAAAGATAGCTCTGTTTCAAGCAAGGTGGAAGGCAAGGACTGAGGTTTTCCTCTTACCTACATGTGTGCCTCACACACACACACACACACACACACACACACACACACACACACACATACACACACAAACACAGGACATTAAAAAAAGAAAAGAGCGGTCATAAAGAGTGCAGAAACCTGCGTGTCACTCTGAAGGCTGACTGAAGAAAAGTGACTCACACTTAGTATTGAACTGTGGGTTAAATTCAAGTCCATGGGACATGGCTGGTGAGTGTTGTCTGCTGTGATTGGCTACTATGAGGAGGTCAGTCTAGCAAGAAGTTTACATATATTATCACATTGTTTAGTAAGAATGGAGCTTAACAACTTTAAATAACACTGTAGCTCAGGAAATCAACAAATGTCACACTCATATTTGATCTGGGAGAGGAGCAAGCTCTAGAAAGCACTGAGCAGAAAGAAAAAAAATGCCAGTAGTAACAATACACTGGGACACTAAAGCTGGGTTTACCACATGGGAGGCTTGGCTATGTCAGTATTGTGTGGGGTTATTTTATGTTCAAACAAAAAGAGATACTGTTCATAGTTTTCTGAAACACACACACACACATGCACACACACACTTTAAATGTCCATGACTGGGAAATCAAAGTGTAGGAATAAAAATTAGACATCTTACCCAGATGTGGTGATATCTGCCTATAATCCCAGCACTTGGCTGGTGGAGACAGGAGATCATGAGTTCAACTTCAACTTCTACTACACAGTGAGTTTAAGGCTAGCCTGGGTTACATGAGACTCTGCTCCTCCTTCCCCCAAGAAAACTGAAAGAATAGATATTAGAAGCTTCCAACATTGGGTGATCTTAGGACACAACAATATTTGATGGAAAGCCCTGAGAGAGGGGCTTTTGCACAGAGCTTCGCAGCCGCTGTGCTGAGCATCACTCATTTTGGCAGTACACAGAGGAGTGGAAAGAACAGGGCTGAAGTCAGCAGGCCATCTTGAAGAGAGAATGCCAGTATAATTCGTTTTATTTGCGTCCTCTTTTTCCCATTCTCTGTTAAATGCCCATGAAGCAGGAGAGAGGAGCATTCACGGTTACTCACCTAGAACTACAAAATTGGTTTCAATTGCCAGAGATGTAAATTTTAACCAAGAGCTCCAGACACCACCAAGCTCATTACACAGGCTGTTACAAGAAGCATTGCTGCTGTAGCCTAAGGAAAAGCCAGAAGCTCCAGGAACAGTTCTCCCAGCCTGGGTCAGCTTTGCTTCTTAGTCAGAAAGCAGATGCACTGGTGTTGTGGGATGTTCTGTATGGCAAATGTGTTGCTGATTAGTCATTAAATAAAACACTGATTGGCCATTGGCTAGGCAGGAAGTGTAGGCGGGACAAGGAGGAGAATAAAGCTGGGAAGTGGAAGGCTGAGTCAGAGAGACACTGCCAGCCGCCATGATGAGAAAGAGCATGTGAAGATGCCGGTAAGCCACGAGCCATGTGGCAAGGTATAGATTAATGGAAATGGATTAATTTAAGCTATAAGAACAGTTAGCAAGAAGCCTGCCACGGCCATACAGTTTGTAAGCAATATAAGTCTCTGTGTTTACTTGGTCGGGTCTGAGTGGCTGTGGGACTGGCGGGTGAGAGAGTTTGTCCTGACTGTGGGCCAGGCAGGAAAACTCTAGCTACACACTGGAGTTCTGCTTTCTCTTCCACAGATTACCTGAACAAAGGCGGCAGCAGCCAGCAGTTGGTAATCCATATCTCACACAAGATTTCCTGTTTCACAGCAGACACATGCAGACAGCTTGGTGAGTGACAAGCACTGAGTGGAGCACCTTCTTCTACACAAGTGGGACTATACCAAGGAATTCCAATGGCAAGGAGTGGCAGGAACAAGTCACATAACTGTCAGCATGCCTGGGCAACACACAGCTACGCAGTCTCATTTGAGGACCCATCAATGTGGCTATGAGGTAAGCACGATATTGATGGCATGATAGAACGTTTATAAAACCCATCAAACAGCTGCCTCCAACTCATTTCCCAAATCAACAGTCTTATTAATTAAAACCTCATCCCTTTGGATGTTGGAGAAGCACCGAGTTGCTGTTTTGGGTGTGAAACTGTAAACCAGCCCAAATCAAACACTGTCACTCAATTTTAAATAGTGTTAATTGGTAAGAGTTTGTAATCAAGGACGAAATATAATTCAACACTTGATTTTCATACATAAAATGTAAATAGGAGAGTTACTATCAAATATTTGATTATTCTTTTGTGATTAGCTATTTTTCTGGTTTAATTATGGTACATATGGTACAGTATTGTCCCATCTAGTTTTGTTTCTGTTCTTCTCTCCTACTTCACCTAATACATAGGCATGTTTTACAGCTTAATTATGAGCAATGATGGAGTTAGCACTCATCAATCACTGTTCTATTTTCACTAGGATAATGGCAAACTTTATAGTCTTTAGATACATATTCATACCCTTATAGAACACAAGACATTATAGTATTGAATGTTTTAGGATACCATGGAACCATGTAATATAAAATTGAATTGGAAAGCTCTATCTAGTGACAGAGTTCCATCTGATTATATAAAGCAGTTTTCTTTAGTCAAGTTCCCTTCCAGTGTGCTAGAATACAATCACAGAAGAATACAATTTGCTGTACATCCAAAACTGTGGGATGAACCAAGTCAACTTGGCTAAGGCAAGCTACCCTGATATGTCATCCAACTGTATTCTAGATAGGTTTTGAGAGAAATTTTATGTGAGATCAATATTTAAGTCAGTTGACTATGAATAAATCAGATTACCCTCTGCAATATGGGTGGGTCTCATGGGATCAGTCCAGCCAGCCACTTGATAGAAAGAGCACATCTTACTTGAAAACAGAAGAATGTCTTTTGACTTGAACTGCTACATCAACCCTTCCTTCTTGTGTCTCCAGCCTGCCGGGTGCCAGGTTACCCTATGGATGCTGAGGTTGTGGCAGTCACAACTCTATAAGGTAATTCCTTAATCATCCCCATCTTTCCTATTGGCTCTGTTTGTTTACAGAATCTTGATTAATGCCAACTATTATTTTGAATACTGAAAGTGTTTTGTAAAACATTTTAGAAACATATCACTCTTGAGATGACATTGATATTTCTTAAATTATTGGGGAATAAAAGTTAATACATATTATAGAAGCTTTAAAGTTAAATGTTCAGCATTATGTTGAAGGAAACTTTGCAATGTAAAGAAAACAGAATCAAAATTAAGGAAAAGAATGAAAGTTGTGTTCAACTTTATTCCACGTGTCTCCCATTAGCATTGAGCTCTCTTTGTTGCTCAATGAAAGGGTACACAGGAAAGTTGTTGGCTTCATTTAAAATTTTTAGTAAAAGAAAAGATATCTATATTTAGCTAACTGAGAAGTTTATACTTTGTCAGGACTATGTGTGAGTTTCTTGCTGTTGTGACAGACTACTCCAACAAAACCAGTTTAATGGAGAGAAGGTTTGTTCTGTATTACAATTCAAGGTTGTTGTCTACCATGGTGGAGAAGCCAAGGAAGCAGAAGCTTGAAGCAGCTCATCACATGACATCCACAGTCAGGAATACAGAAGTGATGAACATATGATGCTGCTCAGCTCCCTTATCTCCACTTTATACAGTCCAGGATCCCAGCCAGAGAATGACACTACCCACAGTGGAGAACTCTGTCTTCTCCAATGCAATCAAGGTAATTCCCCACAAGAATGCCAACAGCCCAGTCTTCCAGGTGATTCTATATTCTTTCAAGCTGACAATCAATAGCAACCATGTCAATACTTTTCCAACATCCTGGTTGGTAAGTGGAGGAGGTGGTAGAATCTAGAGCTAAAGAATCAGGCTCCAAGGCTAAACAGTCACAATAGTAGTCACTAGTCACCAGCAGCCATTTATATTAAATGTTATATTAATATAAACTCAGCCTCTTAATTTTATTGGCTACATTTTCTGTATTCAATGCTGCTTGTGGGTAGTGGCCATCAAGTAAGATAATATAGATATAGAACACTTGGTCACCAAGGAAAGTTTTATTGGCCATATTCTCTAGTGTGAGATTGTATAGCTACAAATTTCAGTTTCAGTGTTATTAGCAGGTGCAATTTGACTGTTTAGTATTTTAGTTTCCTCATATATAGTGTGATAATGGTAGGTTTTTAAAATTACTTTGGGCTGTTTAGATAATGAAAAACTGTATGAAACAGTTGATGCTTTGTAGGCATTTTTCATAACTTCACTCAAATTGTGAAATAATTTACAATTATTTTATGTGTTTAATCTGACTTTATTTAACATATTTGGTTCTCTATTACTAATGGCATCCTATAATCAGTAAAATATGAACTAATATATTCTCAGAGCAATGTATATATCTCAAATTTAAATATCAAAGTGTTATGCAATTCTCATAAGAAGGAATTCAAACCAGAACATAAGTATGGAATAGTTTGCAATGAAGATAATTTGCTTTTATTTTCTTTCATTACAATGGAAGTTTAAATATATACCCATTCCCTTTATACTATGGTGCCTTACTATAAAAATATTGACGTTTTTCTCTTTAAGGGCTAAATCAAGCATCTATCATATTTCAGTCACCTTTTGTTTTATCCTTAACTCTCCTCCTTCCCCTTCCTTTCTTCCTTCCTTTCTACCTTCCTCCCTCTCCTCCCAATAAACTGTCCATAAAATATAGATGAACAAGAGACAGTACTGTCTTTCAGGGAGTTTACAACCAAGCAATAAAGGTCAAGGTAAATATCCAGCTAGTTTAGTATGTTAGGTGCTTAAACAGTGTTGATGACAGGGTCAAACGGGAACTTAAATGTTTGTAGGTCAAGAAGTTCAAAGAAATGTTATGTGAGGAAATATTTAAGCTTAGATTCTGTGTGAGATAGAGAGCCAAGAATGGTAAGTAAGAGAAAGCACGGTTCTGTCTGGCACCATGACAGACGGCGGGACTAGGAGACCCACACACATGCCTGGGGCAGTCAGCCGGGAACTATTATGGTGAGCAAATACGCAGTGTGTATGGAAGAGAGATGGTTCATTTTCTGGGCACAGAGGCATATCTGAAGAGATAAAAGTAGTGAGGAGCGGGTTAAGGTGGGTAGTATGATTGCCACCCAGGGCCATGGTGATGTCTGACCTGAGCTTCTGCCGGGGCCCATGTCTGGGTTCATGACTCTGTTGCAGCCTGGGTCTGTGTTGATTGTCAGTGGCTCCTGATACCACCGAAGGCCCAAGGAATAGGGCTGTAAAGAGTTGGTCCCGCCCCTCACTGGCTCCAACAGTAGCAAGAACTGGTCCTACCCATTATTGAGTGAAGCACGCAGGAGAGAGGGTCCTACGCCTTACCTGGGCAGCACAACAGAGTGGACCCTGTTCACAGGGGCATGGGTGAGCTGGCCTTGAGGGCATGATAATGGGAGAATAGATTGTGCTCCTTTCATCTGCCATGTGGTAGTGTGGGTGAGGAAAGTTACCTTCCTCCCTTTTCCTCTTGCAGCAGCAGGCTCGGGGAGCTTACCTAAGCCCTCACTAGCTGCAGTTCCTCAGCAGGGAGAAAGGGCCTTGCTCCTTGCCTGGGCAGCACAGTAGAGTTGACCCTATAGACAGAGGCACAGGTATGCCAGCCCTGAGGGCATGAGAGGGGCATAGCTGTTATCACCTCTCTCATCTGCCATGTGGTGGTGGGGCAAGGGAAAGATGCCCTCCTCCTTCACCTCTGCTGCCTCTATCTGGTGAGGGAGCTGATCTTCCCACTTACCAGCTGCAGCCCTGAGGAAAGCAGGCTTTGCACCTCACTTGGGCAGCACACTAAGGCTGACCCTATTGACTGAGATGTGGGTGAACCAGCGGAGAATGTGAGCTTGGGAGATTTGGTCCCATCCCTCGTCTGCCGTATGGGTAGTGTGGGTTGGTGGGGAGAGATTATGTGGGGTGGGGTATCTGGTCCTGAGATCATAAGAGCAAGAAAGCTGTCCCTGCCCCTCACCAGCTGCAGCACTCGGGAGAGTGGCCCTTGCACCTTGCCTGGAGTCCCAGTGAGGGCCCAGTATCAATGGTGTAGGAGAAACTAGAGGCCTCAAACCAGACCAATGACTCTTTGCAATGAGCACTTGCAAGTAAAGATATATGGATAAAAGGGTTTACTGAGTGACTCACTGTGTCACACTACGGCTTCCATGATGAGATTTTTCTTTCTTTCTCTTAAATTTTATTTTTTTTGGGGGGGGAGGGGTTACAAGGGCAGAGGACAGATACAAAGGAACAGGGAGATGAATGTGATCAAGATGCATGATGTGAAAGACTAAAAGAATAAATGAAAAGAAAGAAAAAAGAATGATAAGAACCTCCTAGGAGAGGCCGTGTGACACAGACAGGCATTGCAGATAAATTTTAAGGACAGAACTAGAGATGAGGAAGGAAGGTTGTACTTGTAAAGCCTGAGTAAAACTAGCTAACTTGAGTGTTTGGTGACATGATTTTGCCAAATGAAGTCTGTACTAATGAAGGTATTTTGAATACTTGTGTTTTAGATTAATAAATAAGTAATCACCTATGAATGTGCTTGCCTAATGAATCTGGCTTCTTAAGTTCCTGTGAAAGATAGCTGTTTTCACTGAAGTTTCTAAATCCAAATACTAGCTGAGGAACCATGGAAATTGAAAAGTAAAATATCACATGATAGTATCAACAACGGAGTGTTGCTTTTCATACTATTTGTCAACACGGTTCACATATGCGTTTGATTCTACTAACTGTGGAGAAATATTCAGCCAATAAAACCTAAGGAAATACAGGCAGCAGCAAAGCCAGCTGAAGACTCAGCCTTTACAACTGTGCAATGCAGTCAGCATTTTAACCATGATGGACAGTGAGAGAACTGGATGGTCTCCTCTTGTTTAAAACAACTTGTCTCCCTGCTTTGACCAAGGGGCAGTGTGAGTAAGAGGGGAAGGGAATTAGTAATGAATCAGCAAAGGAAAAGGAAGGTAGAGGAGAGCGAGGCCAACTGATAAAGCAGCACAAAGAGAGAGCCTGGAAGAGACTTGAGCCCCTCCAGGAGGAACAGATATGGTCACCCATGCACCAACCCTCACGTACTGTATTACCAGCATTTCTTTCAATGATGTCTGAGAAACTATTTTTACCTAGTCACAATTAACAATAACCTTTGAATTTTGAAGTGAGGAGAGGCTAAATGTTTTTCCTGTGAGAAATCTTTGCCTGTGTAAGCGAGGTGTCAGGCTATGGGGATGGGAACGTTTGTCAGAAAAAGCAGTAACTGGCAAATAAATACAAGTTAAAATACGGCTGAAATGTGAGGGATATTTTCACCTGGAAGATATTAAAATGTAATTTCAGTTTCTTGTTCAAAACAAACTGAAACGTAAAAGAAAGAAAATTAAATTCTTAGTCTTAATCAGGAAAGAATAATGCTAACTCACAATAAACCAACAATTCAGAATAGAGCTGAATTTCCTCAGCCACCAGGAGCTGCCAATCAAAGGCTTACCAATTCTACTTCATTTCAGTCAGAAAGACTCTCATCAAGAAAACAACATCAAATACTCGTGAGGGTGAAGGGAAAAGGAACATTTACTTATTGTGTGTAAGAGTATAAACTAATCTATCATCTAGAGACGTTAACATGGAGGTGAGGTTATAAAACTATTAAGTGTTTTTTTTTTTCCTGTAACACTTCTAAATATATACCCCAAAGAATCAGTAAATTCACTATAGAGACAGATGAACACTCATATACATCATGACACTATTAACAATAGAAAAAATAATTATGGTAATAGCGTATGTGTTCATGTGGACCAGAAAATATGAAACACACCCTCCTGACACACACACACACAAGCACACACACACACACACACACACGAATTTTAATCGGTCTTAAAGAAGAATGAGATTAAATCATTTGCAAAAATTGGATAGAACTGGAGATCATTGAGTTAAGGGAAATAATGCAGACTCAGAAAGGTAGGTATTACATATTTTTGCTGATATGTAGAAACTATGAAAAAATAAGGAAAAAATGGAGCATGAAAGTAAAAATGGGCTACCTTTATATGTCAGGATAAGGTGAGTTAAGAAATGGTAGGAGGCGGAAACAATGGGATCCAAGTACATTATATGCCTATGTAGAAAAGCTGTAATGAAATGTGCTACACTAACAATTAAATATATACTAATGACCTTTCTAAAGCATGGTCAGTGTGTTTAGCTTGCATGATGGCAACCATACTGAATTATGGCCCCTTGACTGCCCTACAGTAATTCTATTTCAGTTGGGTTTTACTGAATATTTTCCAAGCATGCTCAAATTATATGAGCAGTGTGTGGACCTTCACATCAGACCTGGTGTCAGGTATGTGCTTGACTCTGATATTACAATAAACTAAAAACTGGGTACATAGTGGGTTGAATGAAGTCATCTTTGATCCCACTGGTCTCACTGTCACCCAGGACCATGCTTCTGTTGTAAGTCTCCAACAAATTGTGCTCTGCATAACCTATGGTCAGTCTGCCTCTTGGCAGAGTTGTTCAGGAGCAACATCTATAAGTAGAATCTATGAGAAGGTCAGAATAAAAGAAAAGGAAGCAGCAAAGTAGCCAGGAAACGGTGCAGAGAGAACAATTTGATATTACTTAGTCAACTGGCAATTATCTAAT